GATAAATCTCGCCCAACCAGTGTGGCTTGGTGGTTGAGGATCAACCTATGCACCCAGAAGTCACTGGTTCAATTCCCAGTCAGGGGACATACCCGGGTTTTAGGCTTGATTCCCAACAGGGGATATGCAGGAGGCAGCCGATTGATGTTGATGTTTCTCTCTCATAGATATTTCTATCTCTCTCTCCCTTTCCCTTCCTCTCTCTCTAAAGGCAATAAAAACATATTTTTTTAAAAACAAGAAGAAATCACCCGGTCGGTGTGGCTCAGTGGTTGAGTTTCGACCCATGCACAAGAGGTTGCCGGTTCGATTCCTAATCAGGGCACATGCCCAGGTTGTGGGCCTGATCCACAGTGGGGTCATGTAGGAGGAGGCCAATCGATGTTCTCTCATCGATGTTTCCATCTCTCTCTCCCCCTTCTTTCCTCTGTCTCTCTAATATACCAATAAAGACAAAAATTTTTTTAAAAAAGAAGTAATCTCATTAATATAATGCTGATATTGGCTAGGCAAAAAATATATACTGTATAATTTCACAAAGTTCAAAAAAGGCCAAAAACTATAGGATTATGAATCAGTACTTGAGAACAGAAGGAACAGCAATTTAGAAGAGGTACCATGAGAGCTTTGGAGTGTTGTAATGTTTCCACTTACTGACCTGGATACATTTGTTAGTGTAGGTAGTTAGCTAGTTATTAATAAAGAAAGGGAGCAAAGGAAATCAGACATTATTAAGCATAATCAGCTAGGGAGCATAAGCCAGCTTGCTTCACCAGGAAGTTACAGCTTCACATACTCCCCAGGGAACCACTGGTCCACTCCTAACAGATCAATGGGGGAAGGGATAGAAAAATAAAAGGGGAGGTAAGCACATGTGCAGTAAGAGTCAAGATGGTGACCATAGAGGCCTGTCAATCTATCTTTGGAAAAGGATCAAATTCGATAAAGGGACACAGGACCCTGGAAGATCTAGGAAATAGTTGGTTAGGGGGCAGACCCATCAGAAGCCCACAAAAGCTTGGAAAGTTGATTGGTTATTTTTAAAAAGCACCTGATTCGCCCTGGCCAGTTTGGCTCAGCGGTTAGAGCGTCGGCCTGCGGTCCGGAGAGACCTGGGTTCGGTTCCCGCTAAGGGCACGTACTTCGGTTGCAGTTTGTACCCGGCCCTGGTTGGTCGTGAGGGTGGCAGCCACTCGATGTGTCCCTTCACGTCGATGTTTCTCTCTCTCTCTCCCTTCCTCTCTCTCCCTCCCACTCTATCTGTACAAAAAATGGAAAAATATCCTCGGGTGAGGATAAAAAAAATAAAAAAATAAAAAGCACCTGATTCTTTCCAAGAGCTCCCACTTGGGCTCTCTCTCTGTCTCTGTAACACACGTGCTTACCCTGTGCACTAGCGTGTTCTCTCTCCATAGCAACCATGTAGGTCTATAGCCAACTGGGGCCTACAGCAGACCATGCAGGCTCCAAAGGACTAATCCAGAATCTCTGGACACTGGCCCTTTCTGGGCCTGATGAAGGTAAAATTGGACTTTTTCCGTGGCAGGACAGATGGAAATGGGACAATGGAAACCTGGGGGCAATTTTCAAATAAATTGTATCACCAGAACACCCCTCCAAAACAGTCCCTGGAATGCTTTCCTTGAGACACCATAAAAGAGCCTCACTTCCACCAGCATCACATTTACCTTGTACAGTTCACTGAAATGTACATTTATGCTGTTTCTTTTTACTATGTTATAATTTATAAAAATTGATTTTAAAATACAATCATCCCATGTCAAAAAACACTCTGTGAACAGCTAGTTGCTTCTCAGATATGTCTTAAAAACAACAATGTAGTCTGCATACCATTAGTTTTATATTATACAAGTCTTATCTTTAAACTTTTCTCTCTAAGCCTACTCTGTGTGAAACCCCATTACAGATCTGAGCTATCTCAAACTGATACTGCTGTAATGAACCTAGTTATTAGTAATAGTAAAGGAGCAAAGGGAAGGCCAGATATTACAGGCATGTCATTGGGCAGCTTTCGCAGGAAGATGCAACTTTGCACTCCTTAGGGGTCAATAAAGGGGAGACAGAGGCATGGCCAGTAAAGTTGGGGTGACATAGCGAAGGTGCTTACTGTCAGTCACAACTGAGGACAAAGGTCACTGGTGAGAATGAGTTTGGCCACTGCAAGGGAGGGAAATTAGGGATATTTAATCTCCTCAACAAAGGAGTGCACACTCTTGTGCTCGTACTGCTCTTGGGACTATTGGAACTGTGTGACTCTGGGTTTGTGGGGCTCCCTTTATGTTCGCCCACATGGCCCATGACCATGGGGACCCCACACACAATGGACTGATGGACTGCAACTAGCCTGATACTGAACTGGACCCAGCTCCAACATGGAAAGGAAACTCTGGACAACAGCTTTGCTTCTAGCTCTGCTGAAACCCCAGCTACACTTCTTTTATGACTAGACTAAGAGAAATGGGACTTTGGAAACCCAGGGATGTAATTCCATGCAAATAAAAATCACTTATTCTCCCTTGCAAGTCTTAGGAAATTCTTTTTCTTGAGATATTTTAAGAACTCCACCCGCCACAGCATCCAGTGTGGAAGAGGACCCCCCATTTTCTCCAATAACAAAACAGCAGCTGAAAAAGCACAGCCTGCCTAATATTTATAATTATGACTTATATCCCAACAGAACTAATATTCTCTATTATATACATAATAAAAATACAGTTGCTTTAAATAATGTAATCATGAAGGCAAGGAATTTTTTCATTTTCTCAACCTTCTCCAAAAAAGAGTACAACAAGAAACAAACAGCACAAAAACCAAAACCAAAATAACAGAAAACAAGACCAAAGTAGACAACTTAAAAAAAAAAAAACTGCATTGCAGGTAATCCTCCAAAACCCTAGAATGTGGTTGTATTGACAACAACAACAGGAGAAGGATCTACAACAGACCAATAGCTGTGTGGAAGCAGCAACAGGAAGTAAAAGAAGACAGTCTACTACTCTTCAAGCCACAGAAAGGAAAAAGAGTGTAAACTGATAAATCTGCAAATGGCCTGCAAAACCAGGATGGTCTCAAATGATCAAAAACAAAGATATGTGCAAAACCTGCATGCAAATGTAGCATTCAACAAGCCTAACAATGACCTCAAAATCTCTGAAATATCTAGAAAACATCATCTTCCAAAAGGAAAAAAAAAATGAACAAGTAAGCTACCAAAACCCTCACACTGAAAGAAAACTACCAGAAACTGAAACCAAACTGACCAGGACAGAAACCCTGGTGGTAAAAGAGGAGAGAGATGGTTCAGATAAGAGAGGACAAGGGAGGGCCAGGAAGGTAGTGATGCCCAAAGGCAGTAAATCCCAGAAGAAAACAAAACAAAAACTCTAATAAATTCAACATTTAAAGCTGAGAGCAACACCTCAAAACTCAAGATCTGTACAGCTCTAGGGGTAGAAGAGAGGGCTGAAACCAGAAAATCTTTCTGAACCAACCCAGTTCTGAAAAAGAATGAATATATACAGAGGTCATGTTGAGTTTTCCTTGCCAAAGAAAAGGAAGCTACAGAGAAGTCAAGCTGGGAAAGTTATTCTATTTTATGTCCAACTCTCCTCTTCCATAAAAACCCTCTCCTAATAGCCCAGGAAAATTATCTCATTGAAACACAGAGAACAAGAAAAAGAATTACAAACTGCTCCCTAAAAATTACTATGAAAATAAAAAAATAAATGACAGAAATTTTGTTGTTGTTGTTAACCCTCACCTGAGGATAATTTTCCATAGATTTCTAGAGAGAGTGAAAGGGTTAGGGTCAGGGTTAGGGAGGGAGGAAGGGAGAGAGAGAAACATCTATGTGAGAGAGACACATCAACTGCCTCCCACACAACCCTGATTGGGATGGGGATCAAACCTGCAACCCCAGGTATGTACCCTTGACTGGGATACAAACCTGAGCCCATTCTGTCTGTGGGCCAATGATCAATGAGCCAAAAGAGACAGGGAGAAAAAAAGGGAAATTTTTTGGAAAAAAAAAAAAAAAAGGATGATAGAGGAGATGGGAAGAGAGAGAAAATAAACTTATAACTGGAGATCTGAAAAAGAAAACTTAAGCAACCAAACAAAAAAATATTTAAAATTTTAATTTTAAAAGCAAATTTCTCAAATTAAAAGAGGACTAAATCCACATATTAAAGGGTCTATTATATACTTGAGAAAATTAATCCGAGAATAAACAACAAAACATACTGTAGTGTTTTAAAAATAAATTAAAAATTCCTTAGGACACCCAGCCAAAAAGTCTAAGTCACTTATTAGGGAAAGAAAATCAGGACGGCATCAGACTTCTTGACAGCAATATTTTATCCTAAAAAACAATGGAACAATACATTTGACAGACTTAGTTATGTAAGCTAAAGGATGTATAAAAAGTAAAATTGTCCTACAAATATAAAAACTATAGACAGATAAGTTATAAACATGCAAGATATAAGAAGACATGTTTTTCCATGAGGACTTCCTAAAGAAACTCCTAGGGACTAGCTTCAGAAAATCAGATAAGAAATGACATGTAAGCAGAGTACATACACTGGCTGGTTTACTTTTAGGTTTTTCTTCCTCTTTTTTCATTATTTGAGATACCTCTGATTAATAACACACTCATATATCCATTTGCTTCTGAAATGCATCCTGCCATTTGTTTACCCTTTCTGATTTTTCACAATTACTTATTATTTGCCAAATGCAGAACTACTGAGATTTCAAGATGGTGAGGCTAATTATGGAATCATAATAGTATCAGACTCCTCTAGAAAAAATATAAAAGTTATTTTACAAATATAAGTAAAATCTATACAGTTAAAACACATCTGATAAAGGCATAAAAGTCTAATGATAGAAATCTGAGTTTGCAGTTTGTAGAAACAAAAGCAACTAAGAAATACATTAACTGACATATGTCATAATATAAAATCATCAATACTAACCTGATAAGCTCTGTTTATTTGACTGGCTGCCCAACTAGCATATTTCATGTTGTCCTTTTTTGTTTTCGCACTTGCTTTTGGATTAGAAGCAATATGACTTGCCGACTAAAAACAAGAAGAAACATCAAAGACAAAATGCCTTTTTTCTAGCAAGATAATCAAAAACATGTAAGGTCATGGTTTCAAAGGGATGATAACAAAAAATTTTTAAATTATACCAAAACAATTTATTTTTTTTAAAAAGTTGAATAAAATCAGTGTTTAAAAATGATAATACATTTTAAAATACTGAATAATCCCAATGGGAAGAGAAAGGATATCTTAAATAATATCTAAAATTATTTTATTAGTGTCTACCACAGCTCTTAAGAGTAAAATTCCATTTCTTTCCTGAAAATTATTTCATTTGTTTCTTCCTGCCTCCATCTCTGCAATCAATTCTTCCCATTAAGCTCCAATAAGACATTCATCCAAAACTCCATGAAAAGACTAGGGTAAATTAAAATTTCAAAGAACTGGTCTATTAAAGAAAAGTTTATTTTTCCAGTCATTCTGATTATAGAGAGGGGCTCATTATATATATATGTATTTTAAAACTCAGAAAATTCTTCCTATCCCAAAGCTCTTGTTAATTTACTTTTCTAAGCATGTCATTTGGCATACATAAACAACAGGAATGTTTAATTACATGCTTCTCACAACATCCAAACTGGTTTTCTAAACCATGAAATATGTTTTAATTTGACTTTAGAGATTTTATTTCTAATATGTCTTTTATTGCCATCATTTAAAAATAGCTCATACAATTTTAATTTAAGGTAAGAAATATAACAATGTTGGACATAAATCCAAGAATGTCAAAACAAAAAATAGATAGTATGTATTTTTATCAGTTACTATTTAATTTTATAAGGAAATACTTTACTTTGGATACAATAAAAACATTTTACAATGAAATGTCAAATAGATAGGATGTATTAACATTTAAAAATAAAATTGCCTTACAACCTATTACTCATAATTAACTAGAAGAAAAAAAAAGCAATGCTTATCAAAGAAAAAAAACAAAACAAAACGAAAGAGAAGTGACTGAACAGGACAGTTAGACTAGGATAGTTAATGGAGTTTAAATGACAGATGTGGTAAAATACATTAAACATGCACCTTAACTCACCATGTAAAGTCCAAACAAAGCTCTCATATTTCTGTTGTTCAGTTTCAATGCCTGTGCAAAATACTTTCTTGAAAGTTCAAGGTTTTCAAGTCCACCTTGGGTATATTTAACCTGTTAAAAATCGCAGAGTGCTGAAACCTGTTTATTTTACTACTATGAAATATAGCATGTTTCACCATACCATAGACATTAGTAATTGAAACAGATATTCAGTAAACAAATGCAAGATGTTTAAAAGATTTCATCTTAAAGTTGTTAAAGCTAATCTAAATTTTAAAGCATAACCTCCCCCCAAAAATATTCTATTAATAGTCCTTAATAATGAAGTCCTTCTGACTTTATACCATTGAAATATATTGCTACTTCCCAAAACACTGACCTTGGTATGAATTTTCTAGAATATAAATTTAAAAATCATAATCACTATAAATGTCTGAGAAGCCATTAAATGGTGACAACAGTGGCATAATTAATTCATAATTAGAAAAGAAAATAGTATACAAATAAAAAATACAAACTATTTCAGTTTTAAAGAGTGCTTTTAACTGAGAACTATTACAGTATTAAATAGTGCTTTTAACTATTTCCATAACAGTATTAAAAATTTAAAACTTTTACTCCCACAAGTCAATTTTCATCAGATGTTTTAAATATTTATATACTTGCCTAACATTAAGGACATAATCTTAGTTCCATAATAATACCCAAACCAACAAAAATAAAATCACACAGAATTATTGTTTTTTAAAATACTTACTTCAGCATACTGCTGACAATATAAGTGGTTGTGTGGATTAGTCATCATAAGTTCCTCTAAACAGAAGGCTGCTTTACCATAGCTGAAAAATATCAAGGAGAAACTAATTTTAAAAGTCACAAATTTTTCTTAGTTATGACTTAAAATAATTTAAAAATAATCTTAGCGATGTTAGACATTTTGTTCCCTAAATAATTTAAATAGCTTTATTAACCAAAGGAGTTATTATCCTGAATTCATAAATACAAATAATATTTAGTTTTTTAATGAGATGAATAAACAAACAGAGGCTTAAATCCTTAAGCAGCCCATGAACAATCAATACATGTTACATTTTTTAAAACTAGGTCACCACTATGACATTGAAACATTATTAACAACATAGGCCTCAAGACCTCGGATCAAGTTACACAGAAACAGAATCCTGCTGAAAACCTAAGGAGAGAACTGCTGCAACGGGCTCTGGAAAAATGGTTTCATACCATGTGACTACAATTCCCCTTCATGTACTTTATATGTTTCAAGTCATGTGAATACCCTCACTATCTACAGGAAATCCTAAAGAACAAAGGTGTTCTAAGATTTATTCCCAGTGAGGAGGAGATGAGAGTACCCATCAGAAAAAGATTACCTACAGTTATTTTTGGCATTTGTCACCGATGTACAAAAAAGGTACCTATCTTTATACTAATGTCTGAAATACTTACTTTTCAAAATATACATGTGGCCATTTCACACATATGACAAAAGAGCTAACTTTTAAAAAAATAGGTTTTATTGATTTGAGAGAAAACGAGACATTGATGTGAGAGAAAAATTGACTGGTTCCCTCCCATTCAAGCCCTGACCTGGATAGAACCTGCAACCTAGGTAGGTGCCCTAATTAGGAATCAGACCCACTACCTTTTAGTGCACAGGACGACAATCCAACTGAGCCATAATGGCCAGGGCAAGAGTTAACTTTTATCACATCCTCATTATGTATTATTTTCTAGGTGTTACATGTATTAGCTCATTTAATCCTAACAAAACCCTAGGAAGTAGAAAATTAATATCACCATTCTATAGTCAAGATCACTGAGGCACAGAGATTAAACTGATACCCAGGCTGTACCTCTCCAGTCTACACTCTTAACCACTATGCATAAAGCCTATTAAGCACTACACACCACAATGAAAAATTGTGACAGTGATGGTAGTGAAGATGTCAATGGTAACATAAAAACAAGTACAACAATCAAATTCAAAGGGTCTGAGGAACCAAAAACACCCTGCAGATTACCCCCCAAATCATAGTATTTTAGATTTATGAAGGCTCTTCTATATAGACTCTCATCAAAGATCATGCAGCTATTTTGCACCTTCATTTTTATATCCAAAACCTGGCTCTTGACATATGGTGGGTATATAATAAATTAGTGAACAAATGACTGAATTAATGTCTAAAACAAAAGTATTGATATTTATCTATCTGATATTTATTTAATATTCTCAAGACAATGGGGAAGTGGTCTCTAAACACCTAAGTTCATTAAAAAGATAGGTCCCTTCTAAATGCTTCTTTTACTAAATAAAGTTTTTAAAGTTCTTCTGTTCCTTACAAAAGCATATGTATAGGTTACAGAATTTGTTCCTACATTGCTTTATCAACATTTATGATTTTTCCTTACAATGTTTTAATAAATCCATTTGTTATAAAATTTTACAGTAAGGCTAGATCTAGAAAAAGGAACCATAATCACTATCACATTTAATTTATACTACTAGCTGGTGTTTACTATATAACATCTAGTTTCAAGTACAAAACAAGTAAAAAACTTGTGTCTTTGTTTAAAATATGTATTTTTATGTATAATATGTATTGGTAGTGCTAACAAATTATAACTAATTGCTTTATATTTAAACAAGTACCTTAATATGGTCAACTGGTATAACATATACCAACTTGAATAAGTAAATACACACTAGAATTTATAAAAAGCAAATTTAAATAAAGGTAAAAAACATATATAAAAATACATGGCAGAATTCTATATCCCCTTTTATCTTTATAAAAACAGTGAATAGGCTTTTATGAACATTCTACTATAGAAATTTAGAGTAAAAAATTCTAGACTAGCAATGCTGCCTGTAACCTATTATATTTAAAATAGCTTATAAACTATTCATATGCAGAAAATGTCAAAATGGTAAATATATCTAGCAGTTCCTAAATTGGCACATTTTTGCCACTGTGTCTATAAAACTATACTAAGCTGTTATACACAATAATTTACCACTTCCACACAAATACACACACACACACACAAAATCCTGCCTACTACAATGACTTGCCTAAACAATTAAGATTAATTAAGTGAACAGATTCTGATTTTCATTTAAAAAGATTTGAAGGTATTTATTCCACATACTCTAAATCTGACTATTTCCTCTAAGTGGTTATTTTGTGAATGACTAGCTTTAAGACCAAAAAGAGTTTTGTGATGTAGGACAAAAGGGAAAGCTGAATATAATAATCATTTTCTCTAAAAAGAAAATTTTCAGGTGCTTTTCTGTCTTTGTTTTTTAATTTCTTGGGATTTTTCAGGTCACTTCTCTCAAGTATACATTCAACACTATCTCAATAAACTCTTTAGAGGTTCAAAGCAAAACTAAATGTGGCCACTGTAAGATGAAGCAAATAATAAATTTAACGATGTTAAAAAAAAGTATAACCTATCTGAGAACTAAGCATAGAAATATTAGCAACATGCAAAACAGAGGTGATGTATTTATACAGTTCTTAGAGGACAGAAAACATGAAAGCAATAAAAATGGATATATCTGACCTTATCTGGTAAGTTAAAAAAAATCAATAGGAAAAAGACAAATAACAAACAAGGGTATAGTTCTGAAAGAACAAAGGTTCCAATCACTTATATAAAGAGCTCTAAAAGATTTTTTTTAAGTGTAACCAATTTTCACCTGTCAAAATTTGCAAAGATTAAAAAGAATGATAGTACCCAGTGTTGTTGAAGGGACACCAATAATTGCTGGTGTGAGAGTGAACAATTTGGAACAATTTATCAAAATCCCTGAAAATGCGCACATCATTTAACCAATTCTACTTCTAAGAATTTAACCCAAGGAAACAATTAAAATAAAGATAATCAGTACAGAATTATAGTAAAAATGAAAAACCTTTATATTACCCTAAAAAATTAGTTAAGAAAACTAGATTACATTAATAAGGTAGAATAATATAAAGCCATTGAAATCACATTGTGGAATATTTACTATGATAAAAAAATTTTGACAAAACATAACTAAGTGAAAAGCATTAGGATATAAAAGATAATTCTATTTTAGTTTTCTGTTTAATTAACATAGGACAATGCAATCACACATGATTTTTGTCTTAGTCTTTACTCTTTATTAGATTTTCAAAGTTCTCTGCATTAGGTATTCCTTTAATTAAAAAAAAAATTTCCTTGATAATTTGAAATGTTTTTAAATGCTTTTAAACACAGGTCTTCAAAAGGCACAAAAAACATTTTAAATGACTACTTTCCGTTTTATAGACAAAATAAAATTTAGTTTTCTTACTGCATTCTGAAAATTCAGTTCATGTTGTTTAATTTATATACTGTATAACTATTGACTTAAAAACTATGAAAATGAAATTATTACCATTTAAACCAAATATACTACCATTCTTACATACGTAAGAGAGTCCCAAATATGTTTACATATGCGAACATACAAGTATACACATATCATGTTGGTGGTATAGTGGTGAGCATGGCTGCCTTCCAAGTATACACACATCTATACTGAACATGATTTGAGATGTAATTTTGTAAGGTAAAACAAAGAGAATCTGAAGGTTAAAATAGAGTACAGAATTGAAAACTGCTTCCCAGAATATAGTACACATTCATGAAATGATGACTATAATTTTAATTTTAGCTCCCACTTACATCAGAACTATGTAGTTAACTACCTTAATTCTCCATTTCACATTACATATACAGTCCTGGGCAAAGGCAAGAGACAAGTGTCTTCATTCTATTTTATTACCTGTGTCAGCTATTTGTAGTATGAGAATGAGATTTACTATTCATGCATAGTAAGAATATGTGCATGAGAATCTGATCCTATTCTCTCTATAAGAAGGAAAGAAACAATGTGATATACTTCAGATTCAGAAGAACTAAGGGAAAAAAAGGACAAAAACAGTCCTGCCTCTAAATGGAGGTAGTGTTAATGCTGTGATATTAGAAAACCTGCACTAAGACTGGGCTAATCCTTTCACACTGGGATTTCCTCTTGTCACTGCAGCAATAAAAAAGCTAACAAAAACATTAAATATCCAATAAGCCAGTTCCTACAGCATTCAACATTCTTGATTATTCTTGGTTTTTTACCCAGGCAACAGAATGCTTCTACTTTGGAAGAGTTGATTCTCTTAGTACTAAGGCTAATAAATGCATACAATTGACAGAATTTTTAAACAGCAGGGAGTATAATACTCTTTGTATTATAAGAACAATTTAAACTCTAAAAATTCACAATTTTGATTCACTAAAAAATAACCTTAGCTCAGCAAATGCAGGCCTAATTCCAAAGAATGCCTTATGTATTTGAAAGAAAAACTTATTTCCCAAACAAAAATAATTTAGTGATACACAAATGAACTCCTTAAAGCAATTCACATATTATAACCAACAAACCATTGATTTGTTATTTTTTCATTTAATTAATTTCGTTCACTTAAAGTGACACATGATTCATACCTTCTCACCAATCCTTCAAAACCAAGTAGGCCTTCTGAACTTATATAGTGATCAAAACTGCATTCCTAACAAACTTTTATGTGTGCTTAACAACTTACTCATGTTCATTGATATAAAGTTCTGCAAGTTCATGCCAGGCTTCTTGGTCTCCAACAAATCTGGTGAGGAAAAAGGAAAAAAAGTAAGTGTGTAGATATTTGGTAAATAAACAGCAAGTAGGCAAAAAGGAAAATCAAATGCAAATTCCATTTTAATTAAAAAAAGATTTATCAGAATAACAAAACACAATCCTCTTGTAAGACACTCACTGTTCCAGATATTCATTCAGTTCCCGAATGGCCTCCACATTTTTTCCCTGGGCTTTTCGAATGGCAATCTTACGCTTTCTTGCGGCCTGTGGGTTGACATTAATAAAGGATTAGGTGCTCATGATTCCCTGGGTTTTTGTAAAGAAGGTAATTTGACTGTGCAAATTATTATCTCAATGCCAGCGAAACTCCATTGTAGAACTACTGCTTAGTGGGAGTTTATAAACATACCCCATGACATCCCACCGGGGAATTCAAACATTCCTCTAACAATCACATATGCTTTACTTTTGATGTACACAATGTATGCGTCATTTCATCCAAATAAATAACCATCCAGATTCTGATAATTACAAGCCAGCAGGGAATCCTAATCTTTATCCAGCCTAAAATCCTTTACTCTGTCTCATTCATAAGATCTGTATCTTAAAAGACAGAGGAATAGTGGAGATTAGGGGGGAAAAAAAAAACTCACCATGGCCACTTGAATGTCATTATACAAATATGGTTTCTGATAACGTTTTTCACAATTTTAAGAGAACAATCTACTTATGAGTCTTTCAAATGCATTATATAGGTCTTGAAAGACATTTTACAATAAACAAAATATTTAAACTTGCATCTTAACGTTTTTTAAACAATAAATACAAAAATCAATGACATCTGTTTATGCATTCATCAAATATGTACTGAACATCTACAATTTGATAGGTACTATGTTAGACAATGAAAATATAAGGAGAAAGATACACCAAAAAAAAACCCCAATAATAGAGATATCTAGGGAGTTGTGGCAACATGGAGTAGATCCTAACATTGGCTATACAAGTACAGAGGAAGAGGCGGAAGGTCAGGAAGCAAAAAGGGACCCAGATGTGGCACCTGAAGTGAAATAGAAAGGGCAAATAGACGTTCAGAAAGCAAATGAGGAAACTGTGTGAAGGACACTGCATAATAGAAACACTGGAGCAAAGGCATCATTGTGTGTAATCAAGACTACACGTTTGAGGCTGGGGTGAACAGTCAGGGACTGGAGGGCACTATATGAATTATTAAATTTATAACCCTCCATCGCTGTCTCTTTTATTCAATGCAGAAGGCTAAACATAAAACACACTAGGGCCAGGTTAAGCTTATTAATTATAATTATTGTTATTTTTTATATAATACACATTACACAAGATGCAGACAATGGAAGTAAAAAGAATGGCTCCTCTTTAGACTAAAGGAGCTACCTGTCATGGGGTGAGAGAGGTGGAGGGTTTTGCATTGAAGAAGTAAGAGTCAAAAAACCAGAGAGAATCAAGAGACTCCCCAATAAGACCAAGAGCAATATTTACAATAGTAGCAGTAACAATATTTTGGTAACAAAAAATAACCTACATGTTAAAAATGTATATCTTCTAATACTTGGCTCAAGCCAAAGGCCTACCACAATGCCTGCCACACAGTAGGTAGTCAAAGATATCTGGAAGAATTTCATTATGTAAAAGAAAGAAAGCACCATAATTTATGTAAAATTTAGAAAGTCTCAGGAATTCATAAGAAAAGTGGTAAAGTTCTAAAAGTAACTCAATCTTAAAGCCTTAGAGAAAATATTAGACTTCAAATGAAAGCCTTGAGTCCTTCTGAAAACAGGTGAGGAATATAATATCTAATTTCACCAATCCAATACCATTTGAAACATACATATTTATTCCTTTTAATTTTCATAGAGTCCAGGTACCAGGAATAAAACACTAAACTAAATTGTCACTTATCAGCTTTCTAACTAAGGGCAAATATTTAACGTCCACAAACCTTAATAACACCACCAATCTCCAAGTATCAATGTACAGCTACTAACACAATACTCAGAATTTAGTAATATTAAATGAATGCTATCTTCCTTCTTTTTACCTCTGCCTTGTGATTAACATTTGTGTTTTAAGCCTTGCCAAAAGCTCTACCTATGACATCTTTAAAAAACTGGCGCAGGCTTGCTTAGTTTGATATGAATATCTTGCCCCAAACCTTACAGGATTTACACCAGCTAAGATAATTATATAGGTACAGTGAAACGTGTTGAAAATATTGCATCCAAGTATCAGATAAAAAGTTAAAATATAAACAAGAATAGTAACCAATACTTCTAGAGTCATAGTAGGAGGTGTGGTATGAACACTGTAATGGATACCATATGCACAATATGAGTTTCATGAAGAAGGGTGTACGAAAAACACCTAATGTTGTTAACCTCATCTTTTCAGTGATTTGACAAAAGAACCGTTCCTCTATTGTCAAACACATACCAATATTTTTAGGTCAGCAGCATTCTGCAGAATACAGTTGGTAAAGCACCACTGCTGTGTTTCAAGGATAATAAATCTTTTTAAACGCCTTTTGAAAAATAATTCGTTTATAAATGATGGAAAATAAAGGTTTAACCCATTTAAATGCATCAAAAGAGAAAGAACTAGAAGATCTGAAACTTTTGATTTCTATCCTACATCCCTCTATGAAACTTCTTGAAAGAATCTGAAATATCGCAAATTAAATAATTTGTTTTTAATTTGAGTTATATATATTCATAGATGGAATGTGATAATTTTATAATGTAATACAAACAGAAATTCAGTATTAAATCTGTAATCACCTATTTTAAAAACTGTTTTCCACCTAACAAACACTTCAGTGAGGTTTAAGAAAAGATTTTTAAATATAAAGCTTTAGTAATCAATTTGGAAAACACGCCTGAAAATCTCTACTGAATGAGCAATAGAGTGCTTAATCACGCAAAACCTAAGATACAGCATTTTATCTCCTAATATTCTGAAGTTTAAAACAAACTATTAAGGGGTAACTATTCAAATATGTAAATCCAGTCTTCCTAGTGAAACTATATAAGACAGCTTTAAAAAAAAACTACATGGCAATTGCTATGATACAGGCAATAATAATATATTATTAAGTCACATACTAAACAGCCCTTTCCAGGTTTTGAGAAAAATGATACCATGTTCTGACATAAGAAACAATCTTTATTTATCATGATCATTTAAATGAACATGAAGCAGGGATTTCATTTCTGGCCGAGATGATATAACAGAGACCACATTTACCCTCTTGCCTGAAACAACAAAAGAGCCGTACTAAATATATGAAACAACCATTTTTAAACCACAGCACAATGGGCAGCAAAGGACAGTATTCCCTTAAAGGGAGGAAACAAACGAGGTGAGCCCTATTTTTATTATCCTGGCTAGTTGCCTTGAGAGTTTCAAGGGTGCTGTGGAGGGAGAGAGAAAACCAAGTTGAGCCCAAAAGACACTGTGAGATCAGGAGAAGGTGCTGAGAGTCTAGGAAGATCAAAGAGGCTAGCATTCATAGAATAGAGTACTGGAGGGGGAAAAAATACAGAATAAGGACTCTGGAGTTTCCCCTTGAGGAGTACTCAGCTTGTCTTGACTAGTGCGTGTGTGAAGAAACTACCCAAGGCCAAGGAAAGAACCATCAAAAAGGTTCTGGGGAAAAAAATGCCCAAAGCTCACACCAACTGGGAATAGTGCCTTTTCCTACCAGCCAAACTGGAAAATGCCATGATTCCTGGGGTACTTACTGGAGATAATACCCAGAGGATGTAATGGGGATTAGCACTAGTATAAACACTGATCTGGTCCCATCTAACCAAGACCACAGAGCAGGTGGTGGGGAACCATTTTTCTGCCAAGGGACATTTGGATATTTATAACATAATTCATGGGCCATAATAATTATTAACTTAAAAATTAGCCTGCTATATTTGGTCAGACTAATTTGGTAAGGCATGTGATGTTAGCTGGTATTGATTTCTGAGGCTGTACACAGTCTGTGGGCTGGATCAAATTGCAAAGTATCAAACTGTTTTCAAGTAACTTAATTGTATTCCACAAGAAAGCCCAACAATATTTATAGGAAACAAAATTAGAAAGGGGCAAAGAAAACTTTTGAGGATGATGGTTTTGTTCACTATCCTGATTGTGGTGACAGTTTCTCAGGTGTATACAAATGTCAATACTTATCGAATTGTAACCTTAAGTATGTGCAGTCACTTCTACATCAATTATATGTCAGAACAGTTTAAAAATAGCATTAATTAGACTAACCGTTAAGCAGTCTTGAATGTCAATTTCTATTTCTTTGTTGTACTTTTTTTCCTATAAAATATGCCAATGTTCTAAATTTCTAGTTTGGATCAATCCTTGCAAAAGTCAGTTTAAGTCTTAAAAATGAAAACCATTCCACATTTTGTAAGTGACTTTAACAATGGAGTTAGAGGTTTTATTATACAATATGAAACTTCAAAAAGTATTTATGACCACAAATAAATCTTCATCAAATTTGCTACACGATTTATGTAACACTACATACAACAGGGCTACCTAGCAATTTCTTCCTGAAAGACAGGTCACATTTTAAAAATATAAGTCACTTTAGGAGAGACACTACCTAAAAAGGATTAAAGGACCTAGGTCTACCAGTAAAGTACAAACTAGAACTCCCACTACTCCAGATGCCAAAAGAGGGAATGCAGAGTTCCAGGCTCTCATTAGACTGATGCCCATAACCCTGGGAAATGTGGCATTCTAAAAGCATCTTCGCCATTGACACAAAGGCAATTACATATAATTCCAAAAATAAGACTTCAAATATTTGATATATCAAAATAGATAGTTCACAACTGAAGGCAAAAATCTCATCTTTTTGAAATATGAAATTCATCTAAAAAGACAATAATTATTGTACTTTCTTTCTGAAAGACATTCCTTCAATAAATATGCACTTAATGCATACCATATGCTAGGCATTATTACATACAATGAACAGAATTTTTTCCCCTCAAGTAGCTTTCAAAGGATGAAAAGTCTACCTTTATTTTAAAAGTAAGTAAATAAAAAACTGACTGCTATTGGGGTAATCTGAAGGATAAAAGTTCACAGTGAGCCAGGTCCAATACTTGATTTTGATAGGCGACTAAAATTTTCACACTGGAGAGTTACTCTTCTAAAATAATGTTCACATCTAAGTTTTAATTATTTGCATACTTTCATTACAAAATATACTTTCA